AAAAAGAGGGGACTTACATGTTTGAAGTCTTTGTCTTTGTGTGTGTGTCTGTCTCTTTGTGGCATCATACGAGTAGCTCCCAAACCGAGGAACTGATGATGAGGAACTGAATTTAGTCGGGATGGTTCTTAACTATGTTTGATGAACATCATTTGAGTCATTTAAAGATCGTCAGCTCTTTTCACAGTGTAGGATCATCACAATCAAAAAATTTTACTTGTCAGATCGACTTGACATTTCGTCGCCTTACTTTCTGAAACTCGCATCTTAAGCCCAAAGTTACTGAAAAGCAAAATATGGATTGTATATACTAATTTAGCAGGGTGATTTCTGCTGCACACACTGGCTTTTACCTATTCTTAAAGTAATGCACCCAAATTAAACCCCTTGATAAGAAATTTAAAATAAATAGAAAGTTTGCCATCTTTTTTTCTAATACTAAGTGACGGTACGAACAAGTCGTGTGCCTGGTGGTAAGTGACACGCCTGTCCCTAATAATTGCAGTGCCACTCAGAGCTTTAAACCACAAAGATCTGAGGGGCACTGCTACTGCGCCCGACACTCTGAGACATAAGTTGACAAGTCCCATGTGCCTGTTACTGTTACTACTGCTACTAAGTTAATTCTATGAATTTTAAGATAATGTTTTTTTGTTTAGTTTACTAATTAGGTGCTTTGTTATACATAATAATAATAATAATAATAATTACCAGTATTTATGTGGTCTGTGATAATAATGTTCCAGACAGCCACACCAATTACTTACGTGATTTTATACTAAGCAATTCCGATGAGTATTTAGAGCAATGGAATTCACTCCATTACACTCAGACCAGAATCAATTTAGAAAATGTCATATATCAAATTGACCATATACCCAGGTACAGCGTGCCAATAGATGAGCCACAGAGGCCGTTGAAAAACAAAACAAGAGAAATTTTAGGCGCGTTTACGGCGCCGTAACCGCGCGTCATCTGAGCTGATTCAAACGCACACAGATATCACGTTGCAAGCAACACTTTATATACTCCACTGGTGTTTATGCTTAGAATTTCATGTAGTTGCTTCATTTAAAAAATTAACGAACAAAACTAAAATTAAAACTCTCTTATCAAAATGCGCGCAAATGATGCGCATTTACGGCGCGTTACACAAGGTGAAAGTTTTCGCGCGTCCTTTACGGCGTTTACGGCGCATTACACGAAATTTATCAGAGCAATAGACTTAGTATTAGCGCAAATAGAGAAAATTCGCGAGAATTGAGAAGCGTTTGTCGACTCAGGCGATGCTATAGCATTAGCGCCCAGCTATAGGTACGAGGAGAAAGTAGTCGCGCGCCCGCCGCGCGGCGATCGCCCAGTTAGTGGTAATTTCCTTCATGTGCATTAATGACGAATCCGAATTCTATTTACTAGGCAACAACATTTAACTTCCTCTGAATAATACAACCACGCGGTCTCCGCACCCGGCCGCTGCGTAGACCACATTCAAGCCAGCCTCGCCCGCGTACCCGAGACGCTCATATAAGTTAAAACGTAAAAGCTAAACGAATATAACGTATTTTGCCATGACAGGCACACGCGGTCGCTGCGCGGCGAAAACGCGGACTCCGTTTGACGGCCGCGCGGGGTGAGCGCGATGAAATTCGTGTTAAATAAATGCGCCCGTTGTTAATATTTTAAAAATAACCCTGTATATTGTGTGTTTTAATATCTTTTTTATTCTTCTACAGAAGTACTACCCAAACAAGGAAGCAGCAATGGCAGAAGCGGTCCGAGGCAAATCCAGAGCCGTACTAATATTCCCGGCAAATTTCTCAACGAGTCTCCAAGAAAGAGTACGAGATGCGAGACACGCGGATGATTATACTGTTATGAGCTCGGAAATTGAAGTCCATATGGATGATACGGGTAAGTTATTTCTATTAGTAACTTTGCACCAATATCGTCATTAAATGAAATTGTCGCGTTTACAATTCAAACTTCTTTTTAAGAATTTTATTTATTTATTTAAAATTCAAGTCACAATAATACAAGTTGCATTAGGCAAGTATTTATTGCTATGACACGCAGGGGTATGGCTCTTAGTCGTTTCTTTTAGGTTTACGTTATTTTATACATTACAAAATATAATAACAAAAATATACAATTTAAATAAAAATAACATGTCATTTATCATCATCTATCATCAGTCTTAGTCAAATACAAAAAAAACATAACAACTTAATTTGATTAAATAACTACGTAAGTTTGTCAATATAAAATTAATTGAAGTTATAATAGCATTTGTCAATTATAATCCATTTGTTTAGGTACTTAACTAAATGTAAACAATCTTGATGCATCTTTTTATTGAAACATATACTTTATAAATCAACAGGTATTAAAAATAGGCATGCATTTTCTTGTGAAACCAAGTATATGTATTTTGGATTTGAAGGTAAGAAAAAATATCATATACATGACATATCAAGATTGTTTACATTTAGTTACGTACCTAAACAAATGGACTATAGTAATACTTTTAATTTTTTTGTGAAAGTTCTGTAATTTCTCTCACATCTTAGTTACTCGGATAGTTTATTGTGAATTTTTATTGCCTTTTAATACGAACTATTCTGATATAGATGCTTAGTGTACTTTGCGGAAGGCTTAATATATTCTTATACCTAACCTATGTATCTAGTGCTAGTAACAGTATGCTCGTAAACAAGTGAATGCAACACTAACAAATAGTTCACTGTTTTTTCTAATAAATTAAGCCATTTCAAATATCGACACATCCGTAGCACAAAGATTTATATGCAAGACTACTTGTTCTCAGGACAAAGTACGTTTCGTTCGTTCCTTCTTCGCTGTGGATGTCAGATATAGTATATGGTGATTAAATGGTGGAAAGTGACACTTACCACCAGTCGCATATTTTGTTCGTTCTATCACTTGGTATCATAAACTCGACATATGTCGAACTTCATGAAGGATGAGTTTTGGCCGAAGGGTGTCTGTACCGACGTTTCCGAGGCCGGCTACCGGACACCCACGTTGCGTCACACGTCGCAGAGAATACGTGGAAATAATAATTAGTCATTAGTGTTTGTAAGGTATGTATTTATGGATCTTTGTAACCTGAATATAAATAAATAAAAACTAAAATAATCTCAGTACATAGTACTAAAAAGACCGACCTCAAAAGTACGTGGAATTACATAATTACCAAGTTTTATTGAAATCGGTTACCGGAAAGTGCACAAACCCGGATTCATTCCCTAGTTCGCCATTATACGGAACTTGACACAGGAGATAATAAAAATCGGTTCTCACTACTCAAAGTATATTGAGAGAAAAAAGCCGTGAATTGGAAAATAGCTAAATCAACCATTAAAATAATTGCTCCTTATAATACAATTTAGGCGCTATTAATAAAAATGAATCTTCCTGCGTGAACAGGCTCCCTTTGAGGTGGATGATTTTCTTTAAAATTCTTGTATTATTATTATATAAAATTATTATAATAGGACTACTATGGAGGTGCCCTCTTTCCAACAAAAAAGGAATCATGAAAATCGGTTCACAAATACCGGAGTTATCGCGTAACATACATACAAAAAAAAACGTACAGTCGAATTGAAAACCTCCTCTTTTATTGAAGTCGGTTAAAAATAAAAAATAAAGTGTCTAGAAAAAGTGTTCTTATTGGTAACAGAATGGGTTCTTATAAATACCTTTACAAAGATTTCAATAGTATAATTACTACAAGTAATTTAAGCTTTTTGAAGCTCCAATTGATTTAAGAGTACATACGAGTTTGTGTGAAATCTAACTCTCAGAAGAAACCGCTCGGAAGTTACTCTTAGAGCTAATTCCGAGTTTAATTTAGCTAACAAACCGAATTGAGGCTAACGAAGGATTGGTTTTAGCGAATTTGTGTCTAAGTTACGAAATAAACTTCTGGGAATACACGAATATGATGTTTAATATATTTCAGTATGGAATTTCGATTCTTGTTATTAGGATTAATTTAATTATCCTTTAATGTCTCTGTGGCCGAACGGTTACCATGCCGAACTGCCACGCAAGAGGTCCCGGGTTCGATTACCGTGCTGAGAGAAATATCTGTATGGCCTACATTTGTTTTTCTCGTGAGTTTGGGTGTAATTTGTGGTAGTCTATGGAACCTTTAAATATAGATTCCAGAGCGTAGCGATGGTTTCAAGCCACGAGACGCAAAACAACTTTGCTGCCGAGCGAAAAACACAACTTTTCACATCACTATAGCGAGGATAATGGTAGATGAAAGAAAAATAGTTGAACTATAAAACCTTTTTTAATGAAAAGAAAAAGTTTATCTTCGGATGCGTTCTGAATTTACGCCTCATCAATTTTTGTTCTTGCTTGTACTTTTATTTTTTGAGATTAAGTGATTATTGAAATTGTTATAGCTCTTCGACGAATTAAAATCATTTAATAACCACAATTAGTTATCATTGTCAATTTAATGTCAACAATAATGAGAATAAAATATACCAACGGTTTTATATTATATAAAAAAGTAATGTACGACAAATCGCTTGATTGAACGTGCTTTATCTTTTTTTTTCATCGAAAGAAAAAGTTAGGTGCACCACAGTCCATCGTCAAGTTCGAATTTCAAAAACCTTTTCCACGCTAGCGTGCAAAAAACGCTTTTGCGCGCAGATTTCTAATGAGAAAGAAAGCCTTTCCTAGCAAGTGAGGTGAAAAATATGTAGCTCTTGTGCCGCCCTTCACCCCTACACCTATCCATAGTCACTACTTACTACGTATATTCTTAGCTTAGTTTTGCATGCAACTACGTGAGCTAAGCTAAGGTAGTTAGCTTCGTTCGCGGGGTGGCCTGCGCTTAATGCGCACAAACTCATAGTCCCGCACTAGGGCAACCCTGTATCGCAGGTGCCATACACATACACACACATATAGACAGACACTAATTACACCCAAACTCACGAGAGAAAAGAAAGTACGCCATACAAATATTTCTCCCGGTCCGGGTATCGAACCCGAGACGTCTGCGTGGCAGACCAGCATTGTAACCGTTCGGCCGTTGAGGCAGTTACGGATAATACGAAACCAGTTAAAAGTCGATGCGAATCGAGCTATGCTGGGAGTTTCTCTAAAGGATAATGGAGATGAGGTTATCCGACAGAGAACCAAACAGAAAACAAAAAAAAAACAGTAGACCAAAGTATTCGATATAGCTAGTAGCGTAAGCAGCTGAAGTGGCAGTGTGCTGGCCTTATTTGCAGAAGAACCGATAACCGATGGGGGAAACCAGTTCTTGAGTGGACAGTATTTATGTTAAGAAAATTATAATTTTATTTATAACAAATAGTGACAGACATAACATTAATACGAGGAATAAAAATAGGATAGCTGTTCAGTCGTCTTCATAAAGTCTCAAATTCATTTAAGGCGCAATGTATACGCTTATATAATAAGATCCCGATTGATATTCAAAATGTGACATTTACAAGGTTCAAAACTATTGCGAAACAAAAGCTTTATACTAAAGGTTATACGACTTCTGCGTAGGTACTTGGATGACAAAAATCTTTGGTAATGACTCGTTTAGCTCTTTCAGGTATTATCGATCTAAGATGTTGAAATTAAATATTTTAATGATAAATGTATTCAAATGTATATTTACAAAGAACAACTCTTAGAGCGTTTTGCTTATTCTTCTCAGGGGAATCTGCCTTACGAATGAGTACTAGAGTTTAATCAGTCTGACGATTCCAAGTGTAATTTGCTTACCTATGAAATAAAATTTAAAATTGACTTTGACTTTGACTTGTGTAAAGACGCAGTGTAAAGCTGGCTACTCAATAGCGAGCGATATAATAACGAGGTTCTGGTGTGTACGCATGACACAGTCTTCACTCGTTAAAACGAGTTCCTGGTTATCCTCAGCTCCCGAACCACGGGACATCACATACACACTATGATTTTTGATAACATAATATGCAATGGTTATGGTTATCGCTAGTGAGTACCCGGCTTAAGACCCTCGGCCCTCTGGCCGAATGGAGTGACGATCTGCGAAAGGCCACTGGCAGACGCCTTGTGAGAGGCTTATGTTCAGAAGTGGATGACTGATGATGATTTTTAATGTCTCCCTTTAATGTCTAAAAGGATGTACGAAACTTGACAACAGCGTAATCTTGTCTATTCGATTGCAGCTTGACTGCGATATTGAAACGCGACGATTATGTTAAAATGCTCTTTGTAAGACAGCAATTTATCCAACGAAATTTAACGCCATTCAATTTATTTCAATCTTATATCACTACTTTGCCATAGAATTCGTTTCCATGACAGAATATTGATCTGTGATTGTAAGGAATGGAAAACGCTGATAATACGAGTTTGAATTCCGGGACACCGGTAGTATGCGTCGATGACGTATTATATCTAATAGTTTTCTATTATACGCCGATATGGCGTAAATATTTTCATAAATATCTCTTTTAAATGCTCGCTATAAATGTGGTTTTATAACGGTGACTACTACTACCTACAAAATTTAAAATAAAATATAGCTTTATTTCATATTACAAATTGATTAAGTAGTAAGGTGAGAATCCTCTGAGAAAAACGAGTAAAAACTTTTTCCCAGGGTTTTTCGAAAACGTACCGAGTATATTTTTCTGGGACGCGGAAACAAGATTAAAAGCTCTTAGGCTACAAAGTGGACGATAGTGGGCGGCGGCGGTGCGGTGTGGCGACAGAATGCCTAAAACTGGCCTAAGTTTGTATAATATGATGTTCTCGACGGCAGCGGCGCGGGCGGCGACTCACGAGGTTCGCGCTCTACGAGGAACTATCCGCGGAACTGCAAGGTCACAGTTGATTTTAAAACATTTTGACAGTTCTACACAGTAATTTTATGGACGTAAAAATTAAGCGCGACAAACGAGATGAAAAGAAATAATAAAACAAACAAAATGATATATGTAAATTATTCGAAACAGGTGAGTGTAAAAATACGTAAATAATCACTAATATAATGTTGTATATGTAAAAACAGAAACAACAAAACTCGACATTTTTTGTTTCATCGTTTTCCCGGCGATGATTAAACGACAAAAATAGCTATTACAACGCAATTTCATATCATCCTTGTTCTTTCAAAATGTATAACATAAGCTCATTACTAAATGAGAAAACTAAGCTTTATCAACTGAAATAAATACTGTCACAGGAATGTTTATCACACATATCGCCATGCTACGGTTACATTTACCGCGCCGCCGCCGGTATCGCTGTCGCCACCTCCGCGCGGCCGCTCGCTGAGTCCAGTTTAGATGACCATGACGCTAGTGTAACAATGGTCATTTCTGTGAACTTGTCTTTATTGAATACAGATTGTAAATTACCCTAATCGCAAAAAATTTTTACAGGACAAAGATTCTATTAATATCGGCGGCGTTACTCCAAAGCTAAAACCCCTCAAATCCTTGTTATTAACACGAACAAAAGGCGGACAATGATGTTGGTCCTCGTTAATAAAAACCCCTTTGTGCAAAAAAAGCATTGTAATGTCGCGACTTCATTTACATCCAAATTTGATCGCAGTCTTCCAATAATCAAATTATAATGTTTTTTTGCAAATGAAAAGGTATTTATTAAACCACAAATTTTTTTTTGGTTGTAAAAGTTGCTTGTTGTTTTTATTACGGTGTTACGTATTAATAATAATACAAAATAATAAAATTGTTTATTCACCCCAACATGCTAGAATACAGGATTACCTTCACACGTAAATTTTCGTAATTTGTTAGAGTTCGGTCAAGACCGATCTTGTGTCGGACATGTGCTCAATTGGAAGTTGATCCTCGTAGGTACCATCTCTGATCTAGATGGAGCTAAGCTATATCTTTAGTCGAGTAACGGCAACAATATAGTGTTTTAAATAGATCTGGGTGAAATGAATGAATGTGGGGGAAATCCGATAAAAAGGATTCGTTTATTCATTTTCGAATAAGGGGTAATTTGCCACCGTTACAGGTAGAATTTTTTCTTCAAATTAAAATGAGACCACAGTCGAGGTGATATTTGAGGATTTTTTAGATTTTTCAAACAAAAAAAATCTGATTATTTACAAAATACAAAAAGATTTATAACAACTGCTACAAGTTCGCTACAAGTAGAAAGATCCCAAAAGAGACATTTTTTTTTTCAAATGCAGCAGGTTTTACCAGTCATATAAATGATATAAATAGTGCAGTAAAAGCAGCTACCGAAACTATTGTAATTTCTCGATTATTGAGCTGAATTTAAAGGCATACAAATACATAAGTAGAGCTCCTTGTGAAAGAGTTCGTCCAGGGAAGTACTGCCACCTTACCTATTTCTGCCGCCAAGCTGTAATATAGGCATTACTGCGTTCCGGTTTGAAAGGGTAAGGGTGCTGGTGAAATTACAGGCACTTGGGATTTGTCAACATAATGTCTCAGGGTGACGGGCGCTGTGGCAGTGCATCTAAGACTTTTCCGGTTTAAAGCGCTTACCACCAGACGCACGACTTGTTCGTCCCCTCACTTGGTATTATATAAAAAAACCTAGATTTGTTCCATAAGCGAATGAATGTATCATAAAAATAAATATGTTATGTTGCTATTTCCTGGGCTTATTTTTTTACTGGAAATGAAATTGTCTACTTTATTATATGAATAAGTCGTAAATTACGAATTAAAATCAAGAACCTAGAGCTCGTTTCGCTAAAATGAAATTCGTTCAAGTCATATAAACTCTAATATTTATTACTTGGGATCTCGCAAAAGTTAATGAAGGAGCAGTTTATCCTGGGTACTTACTATGATGTACAAAAATATGTAATTTATTAGTTGAAACTTTGATAGCCTAGTAGAGAGGACGATTGCCGAAATGACCCAGTTTCACGGAGTCATTTTTTATGTGTGCAATCAGGGCTCCATTACTCGTTCAAGGTTACGTTATAAGTACCTACCGCTGAGTGCGCCGACGTCGGCGCAAGCGCTGATACTCGTACATACAGGCTCATACAGGTCTTTCATTTATGAGCATTCGGCTTCGCATGACTGCACACGGGGGTGCAATGATATTTTCACCTCTCTGAGCGCGTGCTTAGGTTCATTTATTCTTGTAGTGAGAGCCTGGTGTCATTAGTCAGATTTAGTGGGCTATTATAGCGTAGGTATTTTCGATTCTGTACGAGAGTGATGTGACTGTTACGTAGTAACTATTAAGTAATGTGTGGTGCGTTGCGTATAACTATTAGTATAATGATCAGTATTCACTGTTAGTAAACAGTATCCGTATATAGGTATAACCATTCGTAGCTCCGTTGGTAGAGTGGTGATCGTATTTTTTTTTTATGATAGCAAGTGGCGGGACAAACAAGTCATCTCACATCGTCGAACGTGAGTCTGGTGGTAAGCAACACGCCTATCCATAACAGTTGCAGTGCCGTTCAGAGATTTCAATCGTAAAGATCTGAGAGTCACTGCCACTGTGCCGGTTACTCTAAGACATTAATTGAAAAGTCCCACGTGTCTGTAATTTCACCAACACCTTTACCCTTTTAAAACCGAAACGCAGTAATGTTTCCATTACTACTTGGCGTTAGAAATGAGTGCGGTGGCAGTACTTCAGTGGACGAACTCTTTCTCAATGAGCTCTATTGCTACTGCTTTTAATTTCTTGACGTATTTATGCAACCAAACAAAAAAATATATTTTATTTAGTCAACCATGACCATGGGACCTGTAAAGGACCCGAAACGTCGGTTTGTTTGAAAAAACAAATATACGCGATTTAAATCCGGCAAAATAGTTTCATTTCCTTTTTGACATATTGTTTTTTTAGAATGGACATTATATTTCTTACACTTTGAAATAAAAAACAAAACATAAGTTTGTTTCGTAGAGATATTCTGGAATTTAAAAAACAAAGCCTTTGCTCTAAGGCCAGCCATACGTGACTGTACACAAGTACTCAATCACTTGTTTTAGGGTAATATCACCGACATTAATATTCTATGTCTTGCGGAAGCGTGCTATGGGCAATTTACAAACTGGGCTCCAGAGTGTCTCTGAGAGATAAGTTTAAAGGAATTAACATTCTTACATTGACGTCACAACAAATTTATGAAAATATAATTTATCTCAAGAAGAATAGTATTTAATATTAATGCAAACTTATTAATTATTATTATTAATAACTTTTGTAACTATAGTGAAAAATAGGGTAGTTTGCATGCAATAGGTTTTGTGTCAGAGTGAAGAATATTGTGATCCGTGAATGGTGAGGTTTGAAAGAGGATGTAGTGACAAATAAAAAATGGCTATGTTGAGGTTGTTTTGGAATATGGAGATGATGAATGAATGTAATGTGTGGAGATGATGAATATAAAGGATAGAATATATCGAGCTAACTGAGTGTTCTTAAAAATGCTGGATTGCGAGTGACAACAATAAGATCTGATTGAAAATATTGATAAATGTATGTGTGTAAATATAATGAAAAATAGTGGAAGACAACACTAATACGAGGAATAAAAATAACCTGGCTATTCTTGACTGTCTTCAAAAGGTAACAATTCATTTAAACGGCAATACATACACTTATGCATACACTATATAAAAAGAGCAAACCCTACTAGAGTTTCTGACTCGTTCTTCCGAGGGAAATTCGTCTTACGAATGAGTAGTGCTAAATCAATTTGACGATTTCGTGTGTAAATTTACTTAATAATGACATTGAGGTATTTTGCATTTTAATATAGTCCCATTCTTATAGGCACAGGCTTTTTTCACGATGGGATGGCTTGCGCTGTGGTTCTCACGTGAGCCCAGTAACTTCATTAAAATGCTTTGAAGGTATAATATTACATATATAATTATATTCTCAAAAAAAAGCCGGAAAAGCTCATGATTAAGTTAGAATAAAATTTCACACATAAATTTCGGAAAGCTCAGAGGTGCAACCGTGGATTAGAATTCCCGGCTTCTACTTGAGAGGCGGTTCTGAACATTTAGTTTTGAAATTTTGAATTGTTCTCGTTTTTCTTCATCATTCTGAGTTTGCTTCGTTCCGTCGTCACTCCTTACCAAAATTCACGAAGAGTAAACACGTGTCCTTCAATCATGTTAACCTTACTGCTTATAAAGCAATAATATAATATATAATAATAATGATAACGCACACACTCAACATAGCCCCGCACTAGGGAAACCCTGTGTCGCGGGTGCCATGGACACACACGTAGACAACCACAAATTACACACAAACTCACTAGACAAAATAAATGTAGGCCATACAAATATTTCTCCCGGCCCGGGAGTCCAACCTGGGACCTCTGCGTGGCAGTTTGGCATGATAACCATTTGGCCACTGAGTCAATTGTAAATGTTTATTTTATATTCATCCATCCATATTCGTACGCAATGGGAGTATTTTATAGTATTGTATCTGTGTGTTTATACCATTGTTTTTTGTTACAGCCTTTTCTTTTCTTCTCCTTTCCTCATATTTTCCTTGTTTCTCCTCACCTCTACAATAAAAATCTTCCCTTAAAATTATATGCAATTATGAGGACCGAGCCTTCTCTCTAATTGCGCCAAGGCTAGGCTATAACCGTTACCGTTATCCGCCAAAAGGTAGTCTCATTGCTCAGCAGACTGAGGGGCAGTACCGGCACCATTTTACAGATCATACCTGGTAGATAAGGCCTACTCATTTTGAAATCTTTCATTCGGGTCCTGATTGAATAGTCTCACAAGAGACTATTGGGTCTGGATGCGGGTGAGAGTTCTGAGAGTCGGCTGCCACTTTTTATAATAAAATTTTTGTGCAACTATTTATTATTATTACCCCTAACCAAGTCTAAGTTATATTTGTAAGTTACTAACACTTCTTCTTCTTGGGGTGCCATCTCATTTCGGCTATCGTTGTGGCAATTTGAGTCCGTGAAGTTGCGGCTCGGAACAGTTCTGTGGTACTTATATTGAACCACTCTGCAAGATTTTGATCCATGTGGTTTTTTGGATTTTTCCCTGTGCAATGAGTTAGTTCCCCTGTAGAGTAGAGAATATTTATCACATTGCAGCTTCCTCTTTTTTACTGTTTTCAGGAGCTCCAAGCCTTTGTGCGTCCTCCGCAATACGTTGTTATTGGTGACTCTATCCGTTCACGACATTTTCAAAATTCATTTCGAAGGCTTCTAACTGTTTACATAATGTCTGAGTTAGTGTCCATGCTTTTACTCCGTACAGAAGAAATAAAAATATGTAGCACCGCACTAAACGGCATCTTGGCGATAGTTTGAGACTATGATCGCAAAGGAGGTGGCTCATTTTAATAAAAGCGCTGCTGGCTTGCTCTCTGCGACATCTAACTTCTATGCTGTAGTCTTCCTGATCGTTTAGCATAAAACACTACTAACACTGTTGGACCTTAAAAAAAATTGTGTTGTCTGTATAAATAATCACATTATTATTATTATAACCTTATACCAACAGATGTTCACTACTTTATCAATTTGCTAGGAATTTCGCAGAATTTCAGACTTTGCGACACTGCTGTGACAATTCTAATTATAATCCCATTCGTTATCCGGAACCCGCATTTGTCAGAGATTCAGAGTTAGTTAACAACGTAATTGTGGGACCCTAAGTTTTGACAGCTATAAATACTTCTAGTACTAGGTGGTAAGCTTAACGAATTTAGAAACAAATTTTAAGGGTGAATATTTTAAATGTGTATTTAAGTAGGTATTTACTAATTAGATTTTTATATGGATTTACTGCCTTTCCTTGTTAAGTAAGACACCTAACTGTTCTAAATAGGTAAACGATTTACATTAGACACCGACTACGTATAGTTGCAGTAGAGCTTCTTGGGAAAGAGTTCGTCCAGGGAAGTACTGCCACTTACCTATGTCTGCCGCCAAGCAGTAATGTGAGCATTGCTGCATTGTACGGTTTTGAAGGGTGCTGGGGAAAATACAGGCACTTACGACTTTTCAACTTATGTATCAGGGTGACGAGGGCAGTGGCAGTGCCCATCAGATTATTGCGATTTAAAGCTCTGCAACTATTATGAACAGGCGTGTCGTTTACCACCCAGCGCACGACTTGTTTGTCACGTCATTTCGTATCGTAAAAAAAAAGTATACGCCATACCATTACAATTAGGGTTGGTCTTGATTTAAAACGCAATGCTACTGATAGAAAAACTCTATTATTCAGCAATCTTAGAATAATAACGCATAGAATGATAGTTTCACATCAAACGAACTGTCACAAGTGAGGCATTAATCAAATTCATAGGCGTAAGCAACTTGTATCTACGCTCATCGGCACGCACACAAATATACAAATAATGATGTCATGAAATAACATTTCCCTCGAAAATGTAGTATAAGTAGTATCTATATTTTATGTTTGTCTGACGTATTTTTACACTCATTTACCGCACATTTCGTCATTTTTAGCTAAAATTCTGGAGCTGTTCGCGGTACAAGTTGACATTGGGAGCGCTTCAATTTGCCTCACTTAGTGTGTGGGGACTAGGTTTCTATGCGTTATTATTCTAAGTCCGCAATGATAATTACACACACTTGTATTTTCGAGAGCAACCCGCGGCCACACCTTTGACAGTTAGAAACCATAGATAAAATAAATAAAAAACACCAATAAATACATTTTGTTTAGCCACAAACCTTCCAAGCACATATTTGTTTTTGGTTTTAACGCCTTTTTTGTCGGCGCGCCATTTGTGAGAATAATGTTTATGGTGTTACTAAGTCATCAGATGCTTATTATACGAAATTGGAAAACGTTTTACACTATAGGTAATACCGACCATGCATACATCATACCATTTATGTATACTGTAGTAATCTGATAATATCTCTGTGCTAATAAACAAAAATGTTTGTCATCTCACTTTGTCGGGTACAAAAATAATACATATGATGTCACAACATAGACAAAATAAATATCATGTTATATATTCCATCTCGCAGAGAGCAGGTGCTCTGCGCCAAAATAAAGTTTACACAGCACCCAAACCGATAGGAAACGGGGCCACAGGGCCGTAGTTGGTAAGCAGTCTACTATTCAAATACAGGGGTCATAAAATTTTCATCAGCCGGCCACGTACATTATCAAAGTGATTGGCTTCGTGTTTATGTATGACATCGGAGGAATAGATTGAAATGTAGCACGGGAGATTTATGGGAAGGATTATGATTTGTAACAATACAACTTGCGAAGAACTTTGCTAGGGTTGTCACATACTTTAAAAATATGACTTAATATTTGTATGCTACATAGTACTACTTTTACCTTCCAGGAACTGCCTTTAGTCTGATAAAAGTATATTATTAGGAAAAAATCTTTGTGCTATGGTTTTAGGGGTGAAGTTGTCTTTCTTGTTCGCTGCGGGTGCTGTAATCGTTTTTGTAAATATTTCGCGCAAATACCGGCCGGAGGACAGCGTTCCTCAGATTTAAAAAATTCTGATTGTCCCATTATTACCTATTTATTTGCTTGCCGTGGGATCCGTCATTTTACTGATCACCTGTAACAAGCTTGCACCCGTGCACCAAGGATAGATGTACGTCTGTAGTAACGTTGAACCATCATGTTACATGGATCAATGCGTAGTGAAGAATAGGCGGAACGGTATATGGCGATGAGTTGTCATTCCGCAAATGGTTAATTATTAACATGAAAGGACGGGGTTGGTGTGTGGCTGTCGTTGGCCTTCGTCCTTGCGAGGCAATTTGTTAAATCGCGGATTATTGACGGGCGCTTTTACAGGTCTATGATCGTGAAGCAAGTTTGTACAGATCCAACAAAAATGTATTGCATATTTCTTTATTTATTTATTGCATGTAATACTCGTGTTACACATTTGTAACGTGTATGTTACTTGCCAACTATAGTATGATATGACGCTCCGTAAGGGCATGGCAATATCAGCGGAGAAGGTCACACTCTATGTTATACTGTGGACTGATGTGGGCCACATTATATCCTTAGTACGTACTGTCGAATATTCAATACACGTACTTGTTTGAAAATTGTGTAAGGAAAATATTCTCCAATCTGTTGCTCCGCATGTGTTAAATCTTCCGTATGATCCTTGTCCGAATCGGATACTTTACTTCCATAAACTGCCTCCGTGGTCGAAGGGTTAATATGCTGGACTGCCTCGCACAGGCCCCGGGTTGGGTTATGGAAGAATATTTGTATGGTCTACATTTATTTATCTCGTGAGTTTGGGTGTACTTTGTGGTTGTCTATCTGTGTCCATGACACCCGCGATACAGCGTTTCCCTAGTGCGGGGCTATGTTGAGTGTGTGCGTTATTAAATAAAAAAATAAAAAAATATGGAGTTTGATGTTTATCACAGACATCTAAATAATTTCCTACTTCCGAAATATTATATTTAAAAATAAAAGGGAAAACTAATTTCGTATTTTTTTAGTAAGCTGTTTTGTCCAGAAATAGCTTACAAAAAAAATTGTCTCAGTTTGAGTTAAATGGATATATTTTCATTGTTTCTTGCAATACTCAAACTACGGTTTTATTGACTTGAAGAGAATCAAATTTTACGTTCAGATGTATCATAATCTTGAATTTCACATAATTTGAATTACAACACTATTGTAATAGCATGTATATAATTATTTCATATTATAAAAAGCCGTGGTGGCCTTATGGTTTGACCTATCTCCTGTCGTGCAGAGGCCATGGGTTATGTGCGAAATTTAATTTGAAATTTACCATGAGTTTTTCGGTCAATGAAAACATCTTGATGAAACCTACGAAGAAGGTTTACAACACTCGGAAAACGTGTGAAATCCCCGCATTGCGCCAGGGTAGCGGACTATAGCCTAAAACCCGCGCCTGAGAGGAGATCCTTAGTAGCAGTAAGGCTCCTTGTGAAAAACTTCGTCCAGGGAAGTAGCAGCGTTTGGCCACAGAGGCAGTTTACTTTATACTTAATTGTATACTTACTAATTACGTTCGCTTTGACACTTTTGTGCACAGCTTTAACAATTAGGGCTATATTCCACGTAAGGACAATGCAGTAACTTTGAAGTGTGAGAGAAATTATTATTCTATACGTGGGGCGCACTATAAGTTTCCGGAATGAATAAGAAAAAAATTCTATAAATGGTCAGAAATAAATTTATTGTTTCTGAAAATATTCTCCGTTATCGTTAATGCACTTTTTCATAAGAAATAACCAATTTTGAAAACATTTATGCCACTCCTCCTTGACAATGTCTGAAACGTATTTTTCATACTCTTCAGGTGACGAAAATCGTTGACTGCGTAATTGGTTTTTAATTTTTGGACATCAATAAAAGTCACAAGGTGTCAGGTCCGGACTGTACGCGGGATGGCTCATAAGGTCAACGTTGTCCACCTTCAAAAATTCATTTGTCTGTCTGGCCGTGTGAGAACTGGCATTATCGTGGTGCAAGATGATACGGCGTTTATGGTTATTTTTACGGAGTTTGTCAATAACTTCCTTCAAACAAATGGTCGTGTCCCAATCACTATTCACGGTACAACGATTCTCCAAAGCAACAGTAGCCACAACAGTGTCCAGTTTTATTAAATAAAAGTAGCAATCATCCACTTAGAGGCACTTTGCACGCGCGACTTAAGTAAAAGGCAAAGGCAGTCTTACGGGAGATAGTTATTTATTGAAGATTGGTACAAGACAGAACCCCGATGCTTAGACTATAGGTCTTATATACTAATTACTATAATGACGTTATTACAATGAAGATTTGCCATTCCGCACTTTACAATATAACTTGCGCAATGGTACAAATTCTATTTTATGTAAAGCAAACATCGTTGTTTAAGGATGCTGAGTTAGCATCCATAACTCGCGCCACTTTGGTTGGTTTCGGCTCATCTCGAAAGACCAATACGCTCGATTGCTGCTTTGTTTTGGGATCGTAACTATAAATCCATGTTTCGTCACCTGTTACTGTATCCCACATCAAACTTGGCGCCTCTTCTTGAATCTGGTAAGCATGGCATTGCACCAAGTGACGCGATCCATTTTTTGAGCCTCAGTCAAATTGTGTGGGATCCACCGAGAGCACAGCGTTTTCACACACAAATGTTTGTGTAGTATTGATTGTATTTGACTCATGCCTATGCCTAAAGATGCTCGAATCTCATGGTATGTCACATGCCTGTCTGTTTTGATCATACGGCGCACAGTATCGATGTTTTTATTGTTCACAGCAGTGGACGGGCGATCATCACGAAATTCGTCATTGATATTAATACAACCGCGTTTGAATTCTACAAACCAGCTATAAATAGTCGTCTTGCATGGTGCTTCATCACCAAAAGTTGTTTGAAGCCGAGCGAAGCTCCGCTGAGCTGTTAAATTACACTCAAAATCGTAGAAAATCATACTACGAAAATTTTCACGAGTTAAATGCATGGTGATGTAGACAACCAATTTCTAAAATGACGCCACAATGTAAAAACAAGTGACAGTTAAAGAGTTCCAGTTTGAAATGTTTTAATTTCTTTTTAAATATTTTTTATTTAAGTGGCCAGTTCCGGAAACTTATAGTGCGCCCTAAGTATAAGT